TTTTTACATATGCGATCTCGGAATGTGTACAAACAAGTTTGACGGTTAGATCGTTGAAAAAAGTTTCATAGAATGCATATCGCGTCAAAACGGTAGATTAAACAAACACTTTGAGTTAATATTATACTTACATCAAGTATAAAATAAGATTTAGTGGTATCCACTTGTGTAAATATTTTAAATTGAAGATTGAATTCATTCAATGCATTCTTATAGGGTCGAGGAGTGTAGCTGTAAAAATTCATCAAAATCGGAGGTAAAATAACTGTTAAATTGTGATTTTTCGTTTATAACCATAAAAAACTTTTATTCGGTTACCTAATCTCTGAAATTTTTATTTTTTATTTTTATTTTTTTTTGCGATTTTTATGTATGCGATCTTGTAGTATTTACAAACAAGTTTGACGGTTAGATCATTGAAACTAGTTTCGTAAAATGCATATTTCCGTTAAATTTGCCTAAATTTTTAAGTGGAAAAAGTAATTTGTGCTAAATTTTTATTTATGTTTTTCAAGTATTGATTAGACAATATTTAGTTTATGTGATGACATTTTCATTGTACAATTATCTTTTTGTTTCTTTATTAAACCAAACAATTATTTATTTAATTTTTAAAAACGTATTCTATTTAAATACATATTATTTATTTATTTAATCAAACAATTATTATTTTATTTTTTAAAATTGTAACAAAATTTGGGGGGGGAGGGAATTTAAAATTTTGGTAGGGAATTTTGGAAGGATTTTGTCTCCATTTTTTTTCTGTCGGTTATAATCTATAGTAATGAAAAATTTTGTCGATTTTAACAACTAGTAATGAAATTTTCCAGAATAAAACATCTCAATCTCTTCCTTGCAACTGTGCCTTCTCCCTTCCCCCTTCCTTTCCCCCTTTTTTCCAAACTCCAAACCCGAAATAATAATTCCTTCACATTTCTGCCCGTCGACTGCATCACCTGCAATCTCCAGTCTGCAACTTCAGAAGATCGAGTGAAAGTTTCAGAGCGATAGAAATTACAAGATGGCGGGAAGTGGAAGGGGGTCGAGGTTCTCACTCCTGCTGCTCCCTCTGTTGATTTCTTTCTCCATGCTGCCCTGCATATCTATCTCTTACAAGCCAGGCGACATCGTCCCCATGAGCAAGATGGGCCTTTGTCACTTTGTGCGTACTCTCTCTCTAAAATATTTATTCAATTTCGGCTCAATTTTAATGGGTTTTGTTCAAATTTTAATGGGTTTTGTTCAAATTTAATGGGTTCTGTTTAATTTTTAATGGGTTTTGTGCAATTTCGCAGTTTCAGATGAAAACCGAATGGCATGATATGATCGGTCGAAACTGCCCAATTTTTGCCGTGAATCGTGAGGTAAATATAGGGTTTATTTCTTGGTGATTTTACATGGGTAGTAAATTTTTGTTGTGTATAAATTTGTACGTGTTAGTTCCTCTAGTGAAGCCGATGGGCTATACAGGAGCTGATGCTTATAAAATGTAAATATATGGGTAGTAAATTTTTGTTGTGTATAAATTTGTAGGTGTTAGTTCCTCTAGGTGTTAGATTCCTCATTTCCTTCTCCTTCTTTTCGCTCCGATGAGGAAATCTATTAGTTTGAATTCTAGTAATCCTTCTTTTCGCTCCGATGAGGAAATCTATTAGTTTGAATTCTAGTAACCGTGACAGTTTTGGTGTGCCCATACAAATTCTTCCCTTGTCAAACATGTTGTCATCGGAGAGGAAGGATTTGAAACATAGGTTGAATATGGAAAATGCAGTGAATGCAGGGGATATGGAAAATGCAGAAAATTATTTATATTTTTTTTTATTATTAATATATTTTTTGTCGGTTTTATCCGACAAGAATGCTTTTATTTATTCTTATTAATAAATTCTCCGTCGGTTATATTCAACACAAGTTCTATCGGTTTTAGTATTTTCTGTCAGTTTTAGCCGACATAAATGCTCTTATTTATTCATTATTAATATATTCTCTATTGGTTATATTCGATACAATTTCTATTGGTTTTAGAGTATTTTCTCTGTCGGTTATATTCGACACAATTTCTGTTGGTTTTAGAGTATTTTCTGTTAGAAAATTCATTTCCTGACGCTGGTACTTCTGTCGCTTATTATATCTGCCACTGCATCCATTTTTTGTTAGATTTTTTTACTTAAAATTCGACAGTAATATATGTTTCTTGTCGGTTATCATAACGACACTAATAAATGGTTTTGTAGTAGTGGAATATAAAGTCTACAAAATGCATGATAGGGCACTTATGCAACTCATTACTGCAACACTGTCCTCCATCTGATGTAGTTTCTTGTGCAATTAGCAGTACAAGTGCAAGGGATTTATGGATTAGACTTCAAGAACAGTTTGATGTTCTGAGTAAAACTACTATCTTTCAAATGAAGTCAAATCTTCAGACCATCAAGAAAGGCACTGATTCTATAACTCAACTTGCTAAGAATTAAGGAAGCAAGAGATTTTTTTGCTGTTGCTGGAGTCACATTTGCAGATGCGGACATTGTTATTCTTGCTCTTAATGGCTTGCCATCCGAGTTCAACACCTTTAGATGTGTGATCCGTGGCAGAGACCTCAAAGAATTTCGATCTCAATTGACTGATTTGAACCAAAACAATGTTGTTGGTAGTGGAAAGTTTAAGAAAGGTAGCAGTGTTTCAGGCAGTGAGAGAAGAAGAAGATTATGCCATCGAGAGAGGAATGCTAGTGCTGGGACGACAATTGGGGTTGTGAAATTTTTTTGTTGTTGTTGTAGACGACAAAGAAATACAAGAAAACCCTGGCACGTAAGGAAAATCTAGACGAGTGATACCATGTACAATTATGATTCCATGTATTGATATGTAGAAAATATTACAATATATATGGTTATATTAATCTCTATTTAAGTAGGAATCCTACACTAATTACAGTTGAAAATTCTATTCCTATATTATTGTTGACCTAAAAACTACTTGCCCTACGTGGTGCACAGAACAAATAGCTAATGAGCTAACTACGTCATTTGGTTGAATGGAAGGCGTGGCAACTTGACGACTGAGCTCGGTCGGTGAGTAAATGAATGTGGTGCTAATGGTGTCGAATACACTACTGATTTCTTACCCGAGCGATCGCAGTATAGGAAGGAACTCGTTTTAGCCTTTGAGTTTTAGAGCCTAAAGACAAGGCTACTAGTCACTGCGAAGTTCAAGGATCGTCGACACCTGGTTCGATTGCTTCAATTATATTTGTGAAAATATAAGTGTGCTAAATCAGTACTAACTAAGGACACAAATACTCAAAAGAGATAAGTGTTTTGACTGTAAATGTGGTTCGGCAGTCGAAATGTCAAATTTTAAAATGCATTTATGAATATCCAATCATCAAATTGGTTCGGCTTTCAATGTGCCAAACACCATAACCTGGTAACACCTCACTCGCTAAGAAGCTAATGAGATGACCTCTTTCAACAATGACTAAGAGATTCCTTGTTGAGCAAGACTTGGATATATAGCCAACCAAACTAGGAGTAGTGCTGTTTCTACAAACTGGAAGGTGCTCCTCGATCACTTGATTTACGGCTCCATTGTTGTTCTACATACTCTAAGATGTCACCGGTTGTATAGTCACATAGATGTTTATATAACTGAAAGATATGCTTGACAAAGTAAGGGCGTTAGTATTTTTCTCAAAGGTTTGAGAGGGTTTTGTGTAGAGTGAGAATTTGCGCAGGGATTTTGTGTGTTGAATTGAAGGGGCTTTGAATGTTGCAGATCCTTTTCTATTTATAGGAGTGATTTTTACCTTTTTCCGAAGTAGAATCTCACCTGGATTGTATTTCGTCAGCATTCCTTGATCCAAACTATCAAGTAAGCCTAATCCCTTTGTTAAATTCGGCCACTCATTCATGACTTAGAACTCTGCACCTAGTCCTTTCAATGTATTTAATTCATTCCTGATCCTGATTAGTTTCGAACCTAGATTTTTGGAATAGTATGAATCTTAATAATGCACATCCCAGTCTCCAATATTCCTACTTGATTCAGGACTTAACCGAATCCAATCTTGACTCTCAAAGAATCCAACAGACTAGGATTTGGCTAACTCACTTTGGGCTGGACTTCTGCCTCAAAAAGATAATCCTGGGAATTCAAGGTTTTTCACTTTGGGCTGAGCCCAAATCACACTCGGCCCAAGCCCACTATTTTGGGTCCAAAATATTGTGTTCTACAATCACGGAAAATATTCCTGATGAATTGATGGGAACTTTAACAAAAAGCTTCTAGTACTGTTTACTTTAACGAAAAACCACATTTTTACACTAAAAAGTTAATCATGGTACTATTCACTTTACCCTTTATTTTGTCCTTATCGTTAAAACTCAAAGTTTTCAAGCCATTTTCATTAGTTTTCCTTGAATTAATTATATTCTAACAAAAGGTCATACGTGACAATGGCAACCAACCATGGCCATTGACCCTTTTTTATAGTGGTCTAAGCTGGCATGGTTGCACCCAGTGGGCATTTTCGCACCCTCATGGATGTGTGAGGGCCTACAAGTTTGCTTCGGATCGGTCTCTAGGACTACTGAATAACAATTTCTTTGATTTTCATGCAACGGTTAAACCACGTCAATATCTTATATTGATTTTTTTTGTAGAAACAAAAAGACAAAAAACAAAAAGTGAGAAGAAGGGAAAGAAGGGGATGAGAATATGACAGCATAGAATCCTACTCAATTTTCAGGGCTTATTACGTGTGAGGGAAACAGATATATTATTCCTTCATTTTTTTTACATTTCAACTCCATCCCCATTTCCCTTGCAGAAGATTGATTTAATTATCTAAGAAGCTGTTATCCAGTTGAAAGATTCGAACCTCATTTATCAAAAATCAAAAGGTATATAAAAGCCAGCCCGGATATACCTTACGATTTACAAAAATACAAAAAAAAAAACAAAAAAAAAAAAAAAAAAAAAAAAAAAGGGCTAGCTAATCAGTAACTCCAAAGTAGTAACTGTGGGCTTGTTTGTCCTTGATGTAAACAAGCATTCATTGAGCAGCTACGGGTAATGATAGAATTGAGTAAAGCTTTCTCCGTATCTACATTAAAACAACCTCGCTTGACAAGTGAGACCATGTAGTTCATGAAAATTGAATCACATGGCAATGTGATAGGCTCACTACTTGAGAGTCCAAACTCTTCCTCTGATATCTTGAAAAGCTCTTGAAAAATGTGGTTAGAGAGATAGGATAACGGCAGCACAAAACGCCTCTTGTCTATGGTATATACCACGAAATTTCCTTTTTCACTCACTATATTAGATGTTGTACTTTTGACTACATTGTTCCCACCTTCTCTCGGGTATGCAATCGCTTTCCACTCCATAAAAATTCACTTCTCCCACTTCATAGCATACTTAATGAGCTTCTCGGGGCTGAGCATCGTAGAGTCCATGCTAAACGAAGATACGACCTTGAGAAAAAAGAAGGGAAAAAGTACTTCGAAATATTTTCCAGAATGCAGAATTACTAGTTCTGTTGGTTTGAGAGCTACGGTGGTGTTTCCTTCATTTATATATATTTTCACCTGAAACCTCAGACAAACTTTTAATATTCGTAGTTTTCTTAGGGGTGTAATTTTCGCTGTAGAGCCGTATGTGATTAGTGATATTAGATGTTAAGTTCCGTCCTCGCTAACTATTTTTTGGTCAAGAAGATACTTGGTTAAAATACTATTAGTGGAGAAAATTATATAGTATTCCCTTGTGGAGAAAGTTCCGATGTGCAGCAACTATACGCATCTTTGGATATTACTATGAATTATATTACGTTATATCTTGTTGAATAAAGACACATCTTGGCAGTCGGTTATTTCTATGATTTAGTTATTTCGACACAAGATTTTTGAGTTCCAAAGTACTCTTTTGATTTTTCGATAATGTTATTCAATTGTACCTTTGCTAGTTGGAAATCCGGAGAATGATAATACCAACGACTTAGCGTCCTCCACTCTTATCATAAAAGACTATTTCATATTATTTATTTATTTATTTAGTTTATTAGGAGAAAACTAAGGGCATGTTTTATAAGGAATAGAAACTGTAGAATTATTTTAATTCTTGAGTTTTACTATATTATGGGTAAATGAATCATTTCATTCCGTAATTTTTTTTGCTCTTACTTGCAAAGTAAGGAATCGAAAAAGTCAAGTCTATCCTTAAAATCCATAATCAAATACATAAAAATCAAGAATTAGATTGAATAGGGGACGAGTTGATTTGATTCCCTTTCCTTCTCCTATTTTATTAAGCTTTCCAATTCATTCTTTTTCCCATTTCTATTAAGTAAACATCTCGCGTGTCAAGATTTCAAGGTTGGGCATGTGGTTCACTACTGATTGAGGTGAAATATGTCCTAACTTAATCACTTTTATTAGGTTTTATCACAAAGACTTTAGTGTTATTACTTAGAACCATTCATTTATAGGTAGTAATAAATATTAAAACAATAGCAAGGTTAGGAACCATTCATTTATAACTATCAAGTTTAAAATAAATAGAAAACTTCATTTTAATTCTTGGCAAAAATGACTTTTAGATTAAAACTATGAGTAAGATCAAAATCTAATTTTAGTCCCTTGATACATTAATAACCTCATTTATTAATTATATTTTGGCCCAGTGCCTTTCTTTTCTATGAAGTTCTACCTTTAACCAAAAAAAAAATAAAAAATTATTTTCATTTTTTTTAAAATAAATTGAGATTGCATTCTTCAATAACAAACTATATATACGTCATGTTTCCTTTTTGCGACACAACTTCTGAACTATGCTACTGGAAAAACAAATTAGTGAAATAGATATGCAACTATAGAACTTAAAAATAATAATTAAAGTTGAGAAGCATCGCAGGGCCATCCTGGTCCCCAGCATATAGCTAGTTCCGCCCTTAGTTTTGTCTTTGTGTGTCCTAGTAATTAACCAACTGATACGATCTGCTTGTAATCTATATAGTAACAAACTGCTAAGATATCAATCTGCCCTTAAACCACAAGACATAAATATTGCATAGTTTTTCAAACAGCATCCAATAACAGTAATCAAGTAAGTATTGAATTGTTCTACATCGAAAATCACTACACCCAAAATAGTACAAAACTAACGGATTGTCTGAAGTGCCTAAATATATATATATATATAGGAAACCAATACCGTTGCTTTCCATACATCTGCACAGTACGAAGTAACAACATTTACCATTCAAGCTATAAAGGAAACCAATACCGTTGCTTTCCATCCATCTGCACAGTACGAAGTAACAACATTTACCATTGAAGCTAGAAAAATATTTCAAGAATTTATTCTCTTCTTTTCTCTAGCTCATATCTCATATCATCATGGACATGATCGTTACGAGTCCCAAGAGACTCATGAAAATGGCTAGGAAATTGCAGAAGACAGCTGATATGGGGAGGAAGAAAATTTCAAACCCAAGAGTAGTTGGTAACAACTCCAATAATACAGACTGCAACTCGATGGGCGAAAAGGGTACTTTTGTCATCTACACTGTTGATAAGAAGCGTTACGTGCTACCATTATCTTATCTGCATAACTGCATTTTCCAAAAGCTTTTTAAGCTGTCCGAAGAAGAATTTGGACTCTCAAGTAGTAGGCCTATCATCGTGCCATGTGACTCGCTCTTCATGAATTACATAGTCTCACTCTTCCAACGTGGAATAACTACGGATTTGGAGAAAGCTGTACTGATCAACTCTACCATTAGTAGTAGCTGCTTCATTGGTTCTACTAATTTATATAAAGGCAAAACAGGACAACAATTACGAGTCCTTTCCGGTTACTGATCACCTTATTTCTTTGTATTTTTGTAAATAATCTCTGTCAGGCATCCTTATGTATACAATTCATATACTGTGTTGTATTTTGGAAACTGAGAAAAAAGGATTTTTCCTTATATTGTTGCCCCTCTAATATGTTATGTTCCATCATAATTAACTAGAGTATTGAAAACCGTCATATTGATCACCGTGTAGTTCTTATATTTGATAGTTGATCCTAATTTCTGTTCCTAGGCGGCCTGAGTTTATTTGTTATTCCTCCAATTATATAGGTGGAATTGGAGGAACCCTAATCACTATATTAAGGATGTCCCTGCTTTCGTAAAATACACGTTCCATTCCGAGCAAACCCTATTATTGCTGGAACACTTCCGCTTGTTGAAAGTAGAAGACTCATTTGTCCTCCGCAAGAGCCATGTCTTGCGTATTCCAAAGATAAATCAATTGTAATTGATTTATTGTAATTTTGGTTTATCAAATCCATTATCCTTATGTCTTGTTGTTCTTATGATTTCAGAAATATCTTACAGTTCAATCCATGTGCTTTTTATTTACCATAAAATGAAAATTAAAGAATGCTAACAATCTTCTCATTTAAACAATTTCGGGTCTAATTCTCATCCTATAATGTTGCACAATTATCCAAATCGTTTAACCTCGATGGGATAATTAATTTAGGTGATTGACATTTTAATCCACCAAATAAATTAGCATTTTAACTCCTGCCCTGTTCAACCAAGATAAAACTTAAAAGGAAATGACAATTAGTACTACGGTCTAATGGTACTGCTCTTCACTTGTAAGTGAGAGGTCCTTCGTTTCATTCACGCCAAAAGCAATTTCTAACCAAATTCTTATGGCTAATGAGGATTTGCAACTAATTAACAAAGTCCAATGAATTGGATTATGATAAAAACAAAAGATTACTTAGACATGAACGTTAGCAATTGGAACTTAAGAATATTGTGTCCAACGAGATTAGGTGTGACCTATGTACCAAAAAAGAGATAGGAATAGACTATTACAGAGAACCTGTATTGACCATTTAAGACCTCTTATATATTTCAATGTTCTTCTATTTTTCCCACGAGAGTCCTACATGGCAAGTATCACTACTAGGAGTAACTTTTTGGGCGACAAAGGGGAAAGTGTCGTGCAATGGTCAAAACCGTCACCGGAAACATTGAACGGCAAGAGAGCGTCACGCAAATTCTGTTGCACAAAGCTCGTGACGTTAGTCGTTGTGCGACGGAGGAAAACTCTTCGTCGCTCAAAATGAAGATTGTGCGACGGAACTGGTGGTCGTTGCTCGTACCGAGCGACGAAACTAGGTTTCAACCCCCAAATTCTTGCGCGATGGACATACGGATTTGACCCACAAACTCTTGCGCAATGGACATGCCGGTTCAACCCATAAACTGTTGCGCGATGGACATGCATGTTCAACACACAAACTCTTGCGCGAAGGATATAGAGGTTGTCGCAGTAAGATTTTAAAATTAGTTTTTTAAATAATTTATTATTTATTTATAAATTAGTTTTTTTAAATAATTTATTATTTAAATTTTTTTTCGTTTATGTAAAAATGAATTTAATGAAATTAAAAATAGAAAATATAAAGACGAATATTGATTAAAAAATTATTGTAAATGTACATACAATGGAAAAAAAGTATTTTTAAATTTGAAAACAATTTAAAACAAAACTAAAAAAAGTAGTCCTCAACGTTACAATTGCCAGCTAGTGGTGTTGTTGCTGTGTTAGGGGGGTGGGAGGTTGTAGCTGCTGTGGCGGGGGGTTGGGAGGTTGTTTCTAGAGGTGGTTCAACGTCAGGGAATTGAATTCCAGAGATTGGAAGTGTACAATGTATTTGGTGCATCAAATTGTTTTGGGCTGCAATGTGAGATTGCTGGGCCGCAATCTGCTACTTCATGCCGCCACTTTAGATGTTAGTGTTTGGACCTCTTTAGTTCTCTGCCTGGAACATGAGGCAGCCGGGTCCCGAAGGCGGGCTTTCCCAAGCCCCCGGTGAACATTCCTATGCCGATGACCGAGGGTTTGATCAAGTGTGGCTATCATGATCTGAAACCCAACATCTTTAGGGGGAACCACCTCCTTGATCGGGGTCTCTAGGGGAAGCTGGGAAGCCACCTTCTCCAAAACGGTCTGGCCCTTCTCCACCATGGTGGACTAGAAAAATGAAAAAAAATAAAAAATTAATATGAATGTACATGTAATTAATATTAATACTAATTGAATATTAAAAATTTTAAATCACTTACATGAAGCTGCTTCGTCAGCTCATCCCTGGCCAAGCGTACACCTCTTTAAACATGTCAATTTCAAAAAACTTTGACCCCCCTAAAAAAATTTAAAAAGTGTTAACATAGATTACCAATTGTGTAATAAAGAGTAAAAGGATTGAAAACTTAAAATAAATATATGGTTACCTTATGTCGCTCCTCCAACCTATAAGAGAAGTGTCGTGAGCCGGATTGGTGAATAAGTTTCTTCTTCAACCGATTGATCAA